CCGGTTGCTCTTTCCTCGGAATCGGTGGAGTCACGAATCCTGTGAAGTTAACGATAATTTCGAATTCGATGTGAAAAATTGAAATTGAGCATTCAGATCGCTGTGTTAACATTTTTAAAAAAGTTTTGGCAGGCTTCTTCAGAGGTGACGCCGTAACACAGCCAGAAGAAAATATGAACTTGGAACAATATTTCGACAAATTCGGATTGGAATTGAGTTCTACGCCTGAAAAACATCACAGAACCAATACTGCATAGTTTCACACCATCGACGATAACAAATAGGGTTCAGTAAAGTCGAAACGAAAATTAGGAAAGCTTTCCGTTAATTAAATTGTTCAATTTAATTAACAGATACGCAGAGAATGGGTAATGGAAGATTTCAATTCCAGTTATTTATTCTTGACTTGTGGAGTTCGTGGAATATTTTCCATTGAAAAATTACGGAAATTTTATTCCAAAACACATTGAAGAGGGGTCATTTTTCACAGAGGGCCCTTCTATTAGAGGGACCCTTCTATTAAAAGGGGTTCTTCTAATACAGGTTTTACGGAATATTTTTTCTAAGTCTGATTTTTAAGTGTCTGCGCCGTAAGCCTGCTTTTTAAAGGCTAAGCCTACACTTTAGAAGCTGAAAATAATTTTTAATGGCTGATTTTACTTTTAAGGGCCTTGTTTTTAGTATATCCCGATTTAAGTGGCTATTTTTTTGTATTTAATAGTGATTCGACTTTTGGGGTACTTTCTCTCTATCTTTTGAGAGGAATAAATTCACTATAATTCGCATCATGCGAATACTGTGGATCCACGTTTCTCATTTTTTTTAAATTGGCTCTTATTTCATTGAAATGTCACGGAAAAAACTGTGTGAAACAATTTTCTAAAAAAGCTCAGCGTAAAAAGCGCCCCCTGGTGTGTAGATACGATTAGGTAAAAAAAAAAATAAATTTTTGTTCCAAGAAATTCGAAAATTAAAATTTCGACCATTCTGAAATTTAGGAAAAAAAAAGAATTTTTATTATTGGTTTTTTTCGAATTTTCAGATTTTTTTTTTGGAATCCCGAAATTTTGAAATTTCTTAAAGTCGGGAATTTCTGAAATCTAGGAGTTTGACCAAATAAAAGAAAAACGAGAATGCTCTAAAGTTTGATTTTAACAAAAATTGAGCTTTCAAAATTCAAATTTTAAATGTGTTTTTTATTCCAAGAAATTCGAAAATTAGGTTTTCAGAAAATTCGAAAAGTCTGAAATTTCAGAAACTGAAAAGTTTCAAAATTCCTTTTTTTTCGAAGATTTGAAATCGATGTTTCTGGAATTGATGGGCATTAAAAATTCAGAAACTCAGATGAATGGAATTTCAAAATTTTTGAAATTTCGAATTTTCGGAAACTGATATTGTTTTTTTCTTGAAAATGATCTAAAAAATCAGAAAAAGCTGCTAAAAATGAAAATATCTCATTTTGGATGCATACTTCATATATCTAGTAATACGAATATTTCCTATTCATTTTTTATTCCAATTTTTTCTTTTCAGTTATCAAAATTCAAGCTTATTTTTTGACACCGGATCCCTATTCTAATTTTTTGAAGTTTTTTTTCAGACTTAATTGCTATAGTGAAGACAAGTATATACGACTGAAAATGGAAAAGGAATAAGTCTTCAAGAAGTTGAATCTTCTGAAACAGAACTTTTGACTTCAAACGCTCCAACCACGAGCTACACTGATATTGATGCCGCGTTCAAAGTTGATTTCCAGGAGTAATTCCCTGGAAAAACGCTGTCTAAAGCTGTCATTGTTTTCCAGATTTCCAGGCACACTAAACTACTGTATCACTCGTTTTGACAGTGCTTTTTCTGTTGATTTATGTCGATTTACGGTGGGTCTCAAAGCGGAAGCCTCCCTGGAAATCTGAAAAAAAATGGTAGCCTTGGACACCGTTTTTTTCCAGGAAATTACTCCTGGAAATCAACTTTGGACGCGGCATGAGGAAACTGAAAAACCGGAATCAACACCTTCTGACAAACCATCACGTCAATCTTTTGAATTAGTTACTCCAAACATTTACCTCTCGGAACAGATCGTAACCGCGACAAACTTAAGAGTCAATTCCCAAATAGTATTATTTCAATTTTCAACTTCCGACCAACATATAACAATGGCCCGATATACAGCCGTTGTGGGGCTGGTTCCAAATAGAACCCGGCCAAATCCGTTGGATCTCCAAATCCCTCCAACTTCTGATCAAAAGTAACAAGCCAAAAACCGAGTAGTTCAAAACTCGCATTGAATTCCAAACAAGAGTTGAAACAGAATTCCACATTCAAGAAACTCCCGAATGGATGCTTTTAAGATTGGATTGATTATGAATAGTCGGTTTAACATTCGAAGTTTCCCCATGAAAATTAAACAGAGGCTTTTCTCTGCTTCCCAATGTTAAAGTGAATCACAAAAATTATCTTCTAGTTCTGTGCCGTCTAAAATATCAGATACAATTCCAACATTCCCATCTGATCTTTTCCACTTTTGATCTTGTATTTTCAACATTTGATTCTGAACATTATATTTATAGGGGAATGGAAACAAAAATATATGTGTGTGTGAACATGATTTTCAAAATTAAGTTCGAAAAGAGAGAAAAACTATATCGTATCCAAAGGCAGGACTTCTGAAATAAAAAAATATAATAAAAAATATTAGGAATGTGTCTGACCTACAATTAAAAAATTTGTTTCTTATGAATGAAAATAGAACCAGTCGGTTTAGGACCCCCTTCGCGCTAAACCTCCTGGCTTCTGGTCGCCCTCCACCATCGCCCTTTTAACCCACCACCCTTTACTGAGGTGAAACCAAGGAACGTCTCCAGAAGACTCCAAAATCAAAGTTTCGAGAAACCAAAAATCCGGGCATCAACTAAGACACAATTCTGATCTATCTGTCCAGGTTTCAGATTGATCGGTTAACTTTGAATGGGTGATAAGGTGCGCTACATACATACGCACGTACAGAATCTGGTGAATGTTATTAGTAATGATAGCCGAAGTATTTTTTTTTCATGTATTTTTTCCTGCATAAAAATTTGGAACCAAACATTTTCTACAAAATTTGAAAAAGAAGCTGATTTCGTTGCCGTACCCAACTAGTGACCGAAATGACCGATCAGACTATATTATTGATAAATCGGGGGAAAAGTGATGCGATTTCTTTTCATTTGATGCTTTAAATTAATAGAAGGAATTGAAAATCTGAAGACATTTATTAAAAATTGAAAAAATAGGAAATATATGGTCCACTTAAATTGGATATGCCAAAAACCGAATGAATGAAAATTGATGGATGAATAAAAAACTACCAAAATTTAGATTTGAAATTTGAGAATATTCCCAGGTAAGATCAAGATTTTTGAAAGCCTGGACAAACGACTACAGAAACGAAAATAGAAAAAAGCTTTCTATTGGTACGAAAAATCGGAGCTGTGGAAGAGAAAAGCTTGTGAGCGTGACCAACTGTTCCCATAACGAAAACCACAGTAAACTAGGATTTTCGGTTTTTTTTTTACTATCGCTTTTCGACAACTTTTGTGTCGAAAACCTTCGAATTCAGTTTCTGGGAAACAGACGAAAATCGAGAAAAAAAAATATGAAAGTAAAATATATTTTCTAACTACGGTAGTTCGGCCGTGGTCGCGGCCACCAGATTTTCTCTTCCAAATCACTATGTTTTGCAACACAATAATATGTTTAACCAATCCTGACAAAATTTGACAAAATCCACGAAACTCTGTTTTAAGACTTTAAAAAAGTAGATGCTCTATCAGTTTCCGCTTTTTTTTTTGGAAAAATCTAAAACGCAAAATATAGAATACTATAGTTTTGTTCAATGTAAGGCACATGTCATATGGACTTTATCCCAGATTTCTGAGTCTGATTAAGACCAAAAGTTTCGGTCCACAATTCCGTCATGAGTCCGATAGTAACATTTTAACAATCCTGTTCCAATGATCTGCCCAATCGATCAGGTCACGAATGGTTGTTGTACTCGACGCACTTACTTTCCCAATCTCTCTCATATCAGACACTTTGAAGCCACGCCTACTTTTTAACTGATATAAAATAGGAACTATGAGGTGACTTATCAAAAACAAATTTCAAGTTGATTGTCTGAATCTTTCATTTTCTTTCAAGTCTCCAATATGTCTAACTATTCCATTCTCTGTATTATGGCAATTGTGTTTATGCTGTCTGCCACCGTAAATTCCCAATTATTCGGTGGCTGGTCGCAACCTGCATGGGGATACAGTTCTCAAGGTAAATCGATTTAATTTTGCTGTAAATGAAGAAGTATGACTTCCTCAGGTGTTGGAGTAGATCAATTTGGAAACACTTTCGAAGGAACCCCACAAAATGGAATCTATCTGTTCTGTAATGGACATGGATGTCCGGGACGCGGCTAAACAGACAGCAGAAAAAAATTGTCAACTTTTGGGTCCAATCACGATTTCAAATTCTCACTTTTTTTTCTTTACAATAAAGATCATAAATGTTTTATTTATACACATCAACTTGACAGTACTTAAAAACAGATTGAAACCTTTTTTGAAAAACGGACCCTGGTCAAGGTCATTTGTTATACTACCTAAGGAAAACCTCTCTGAGAAGATGTCAATATTACATCTACTATTCTAATTGGTTTTTATCACAGATAGAGGATATGATAGGAACAATATCACAGGTTATAGAGAACAAGAAGTTATCATGTAGTCGGTCAGTAAATATACTTTAATCCATCTGTTTTCCCACTTTTCTGCCTGAATCATTAAGATGTAATAAAACTTTATCACCGGGCGCCTGATAGACCAACAGAAAAAAGGGGTGAGAAACATCACATAACAGCCTTTGTTTTCAAATCGAAGAAAATACACGTATTAAAAAATGTAATGTTTTGAGAGGGAGAGACAATTTTGATTTGATTTTCATACATCGTTATTAATTATGTCGTCAATACTTGAATAGAGTCCAGATCCCAGAAAGAGCCAGCCAAGAACGAATAAAAATACATTGATGATCAATTTCTGATAATATAGGAACCTGGAAATAGTTTTATTGAACATGTTTCGAATAATAATAAAAACATACATTTCTCCTTGTTTTTTATAAACTGGTAAAAATACTATACAATCCAAAAATGAAGGTAGAATCAAAGAAATCAAAAGACCAGATGTGATTCCAACCAGAGGAATTATCTGCATTAGATTTGGAACCACCAAGGCCAGACACACTGGAAATATATTAAAGTTAAAAGAAATTCTAGGAAATGGAAACTTACATGAGATGAGCATCAATCCGAGACGAAGAGCATACGGTAGAAACCGATGAATCAATTTTCGATCTTCCGAGATTAGAGATCGAAGACTTGGAAGAAGCATTTGAACAATAACAAACAGTTGGATGGCACTTCCAAAGAATATTTTCAGAACAAGAAGTCCTTTGATGGAAACAGTCAGTCTGAAAGCGTTCTAATTTCAGTTGAAGTTTCTTAAATAGTATCATTTTGTCGGCATTTCTCTTCTTTCTAAAAAGTCTTTCATACCATAGTTGCAAACCGGGCCTTGCCATGGGATCTTTTAGAATCAATATTTTTCAACCTATAGTCTTTTCTCAAGTTTTATCAGCAATTGATTCGACATATCCTAAAATCTTAAAGAAAGGAATACCAACTTTTTATCAAAATTAGTCGAAAGCTGCTGAAAATGACTGATGGCGGGTTTTCGTGGGCCATACCATAGTTTCTTTTGGAATTAATATTTTCGGGCCAACTAAAATAGATATGATAGAACTCAATACTTACTACAAAATGATACTATTTAAAAAAGAGTGTCTTGTCTATGAACACAGTTATATTCAATCCAAAAGGTGACTGATCCGGGCCTTGTTTCGGACTGTTTCTTTTGTAATAATATTCATAGACAAGACACAATTTTTAAAAACAGTATCATTTTGCAGCATTCGTTGGGTTTTATCAAATCAGTTGGTTCAAAAATATTGATTCTAAAAGAAACTATGCCAAAGCCCGCGAAGGCTTGCTAGGACCTGGTTTACAAGTAGGCTTCACACAAAATTGAACCGAAACTAAAACACAGAACATGTAGTTTATAAACTTACATGGAGTTTGGTAGGTTCAGAGTCAAACTTCCTTGTACTTTGGGACCAAATGTAACATATCCAAAAAATCCCAAAAAGGCGTATAGAACAGTAACAAGGTTCATTGCTGTTGACAGAACTCCGCTTGCTCCAGTCATATCTTTTGGATGTTTCAATGAGTTTTCCAATGGCAAAACCATAGCTTGTCCTTCGAATGAATAGATCAATGCTCCAGCAGCAAGTGAAATACCCTCGATCCCAGTAACACTATTCAATTCCCATGTGGGATACCATTTGTGAACCATTAGCTCCTGAAAATATATAATGATTCTAAAGATGGAAATTAACGTTCCTAACCTTCGTAATTAAAATGATAGCTCCAAATATAATCACATTTCCACACAGACACAGTATTGTGATTAGCTTCATGTGTCCAATGAAATTCAGGAGCATTTGAGGAACGAAATATAACAAGATCATGACAGTTTTTGAGAATGGTGGTGGAGAATCGCCAATAAATTCCCAGATCTGAAAAATATCAATTATCATAAAAATTATTATTTCCATCCAGTACCTCAATAACATGTTCAACTGCAAAAACCATGAATACAGTAATCACACCAAGTTGGAAAGCCAAGAGGCAAGCATTAACTATTATCCTGTAACATGATGTAAGTAGGAACCATTTTAAACTTAGAAAACATACTTTGTTAATTTAGCATGCCTTTTAGTCCATTTATAACTATTTAGCATTGCTGCTTCTGCCATTTGACCGTAATCCAAACTTTGGTCACCATTACTGAAATAAGATAAATCAAAATCCATTCATCCTAGACTTTTTCTTACGATTTTGCTAGATACTGGGAACAGCTAACTATTTTGTGCATACTGTAGAGACTTAGAAACCCGACAATGAAAACTAATACGAGACCACCCTGAAATTTTATAAACTGGAAAATTACATAGAATTGGTTTTTACCCATAGACCTGCTTGCTTAAAGCTCACTGCAAGTGAAAAACATCCCGGACCAATCATTCCACATATAAAATTGATGAGCCCAGATGTAGCTCTGAAAAAATCAATTTGAACTCCCGCGCATTTCTTGTGAAGTACGCAATCACGGACAATGCGCCAGACACTACGCCTACTGTTTTGTACTTTTTTTTTGTTCGACGCTAAACTTTTTTAAAGCTTTAATTAGTTTTTAGTAAGCACCAATTTTTCAGTTTTTTGTCAAAAAATCTGTAAGCTGTTCTTTGTTCATTCTCCTCAAAAATCATTCGCTCTAATTCCCTATTTGTTAACTTGCGGTACGGCTAAAAGTTAATGAGAAAATAATTGAAAATTAAGCATCCAAATGCTTCGTTACTTTAAAATCACATCTTTTTCTAACTTTAAACCTTGAATTCCGACTTTTTTGCCTAAATTCAACGGCGAGGGCGAAGTCTGGGTCTCTCGAAATAATTTTCTCGACTGAACGTTTTTAATGAACGCATATAAGTTTCTGATGTTGCCTGTATTTTTGTTCAGACTAATATAGTTTATAATTTGGTCGCGTTTATCATCGTCAGCTGTTTGACCGAATCATTTTTTCTTCTGATTTTGGATTTCTTGGAGTACACTTCTAGGATATATTGTAGTTTATTATATAGTTAAACTCACGATATTCCATTTTTCCTTGAAATCATTGTGCTAATGACTGACTTAACGCTGCTCAGCCCGTTTGAATTTTCTTCCTTTTTCGTTGTCACATCATCGAATTCTTGTTGTTTCCGTTCTTGCTCGTTATCCGTAGGACCAACAATGAACGGCATAGTTTCAAGCTCTATGAGAATTTTTTGTTCTTCCAAAGTTGACATTTTAGACAGAATAACAGTGCTTATAATATAAGGGTGAAGCAATTCAATGTAGAAATATCTTATCAGTAGCACTGAATATTGTTTCAATAGTTAGACAAAAAGCTCTAAAAACAGTTCTTAAAACTGCTGATATAGCTTGAATGACTAGCTGGAGGAGGAAGACGAAATGTAGTGTGTAAATGAGGAAGAAGCAGCTTTTGGTGGTGCTCGGAGCACCTCAAAAGCACCCGCTTGTGAGGATTAGATGACTAAGAACAGAGATTGAAAGAAAGATATAGTGGCTAGGAAATAGAGAATCCGAGAGGGGAAAAGGGATTTTCGTCTGAGGAATGAGACACAAATGTTTCGTTTTTCGGTGCTTTTGGGGTGCATTTTGCTTTTCCTGAGGCTAGACTTTGTTTTTTTTTTCTCTTATGTCGTCTAAAAGGATTTTTCACAAAAAATCAATTACCAGTAGTTCGTTGGTTAACTTTTAAGTCTTTCAGTTGGAAGTTCATTGAGTAAAGAGATTAGTTTACTTTTGAGATTTTAGGATAATTTTTACTCCGTTTTTCATTGAAATTCGTTCGAGAATAAATATCTAATTTTTTTTTTCGAAATTCTGAATAGAATATCTGGATAATAGGCATGTGGATGTATGATTTCAGCTCTATCGTTCGAATATTCCAGATCACAATATTATTGTTCAAGAATGAATAGACGTTCTCGTCTGCTGGTTGCCCAAAATGGAGATTTTATTGTTAGTTTGGCCTCTGTTTTCGTGTATCCAAAATAACTTCCTCTTTTCGCAATGCTCTGCTCAAAAACATTTTTCCAATAATGGTAGGGTGGTACTGTAGGGAGATGAAACCATTTCGGACTTACTGTAGGGAGATGAAAACATACATTAGGAAGTTGTAAAATTTGAGCAATTTCTCAAATAGCTATCAAGATTCTTGATTCAAGAATATGTGAAAAGGAAAAACTAAAGAAAATTTGAGTCAAATATCGTTAGGATGATGAAGAAGTGATCGAGAACAGCGATACTTGATCAAATAATTGTAGGTAGAGGGGACCCACGGGGGTTTGTTCATTCCGCTCTGTTTCTCATGAATAGCATGTGTTATTTATTTACAAGTAGACGCGGGACCAGAAAATACAAAGATTGGAGAGGAATGAGTCAACATGGCTCGATAGCTGAACATGTTGTTTCTTTTTTCATAACTACCAACGCCTAAATCGGTCTAGGACTTGCTAAAACGGACAAATATTAGGAAAAACGGTAGCCGGTCAACCAAAATGTCAGTAGAGAATATAATTCGAAATGATGATAATAATCGTTTGGACAGACAGTGCATAGTATGAGTTGAGTTTCATGAACTTTCCTTGATATGAAATAGGGCAAATAGGGAAATTCGAATTCACAGATTTTATAAGTCTGTATCCTGGTCAATTGACCAAAAAAGCCAGACGAAATTTCTCCTAAAACTAAAAAAATAGAAAATATGTTCAAACCTGATTTTCTGGTCAACTAAAATTTGCATATCAAAGTGACGAATCTTTTGAATAAAATTGATCGAGATCGGTTCTTTAAAATGGAAATGTGACCAATTTTGAAAAGGACGAAGATAAAGTTGGGCACAAACCTATATCTATTTATACTATTAGAAAAGTCAGTTAGCAAACAGAAATTGGCCATCTTTAAAAATCAGTTCAATAGTCGACACTTTTCAGCGTTTGATGATTTATCGTCTTATCTCAAAGAAGATACCGCCCACTTTGCAAAAGTGAAAAAAGCAAATAAAGATTTAAGAAAAATAAAATTTGTTTGATTACCTATTTTATAAAAAAATAATCATGAAAGACTAGTCCTTCACAGAACCTTGGTTCAAAAATATACTCTAGTAAAGTTAAAACCGAATTTAATTCAAATGAAAGCAAGTAAATCAACTTCGCTCATTGTAAAGGTTTTCTTCACTGATCACATAATCTAAAGACCAAAATAATCGATCAGGGCAAAGAATAAGTATCAACAATTGTCAGATAGTTACAATTCTGAAACATTGATGTATTTATCAAGTATTTGAAACTGGTTGGTTGGTCCACCCTATTTAGACTTTCTTTTTTGTTCTTATATATTATGACAATATATCAGAACTGTTGTTAATAACATACTCGGAAAAGCCCGGTTTAGCTTTCGTTTTGTAATTGAAAATAACTTTACAAGAAATCCGGGCCCAGGAAGTTCAGAATTCGGCACCCAAGTGGCAAGTGGTACACAATAACTTATTCATCACCACTATGATGGTCAGAGAATTGACATACGCCTGCCGACTAAAATTTTACAGCATCCCATAATGGGATTCCCATTTTCGAAAAGCTGTGCGTCAGTCTGTGACTGCCACGGTGCTCGCAGATGGATAGTATGACCTTGTTGGATGCTTACTGATGCATGTAACAGTGTCTCAAAACGTTTCAAAAGTGCACTAGTGGTATTTGAAAGTTTGATCTTTTCCTTCTGAACTTTATTTGTGCTTCTCGATTTTGATATCTTCGCTCAATTCTCGGCTTTCGTTTTTCCTATTGAAATTCGTTTTATAGTTACAAATCAAATATGGAGGTCGAGAGTCCGCCTACAACGACGTCGCTCATTCAAGCTGGAGAGTATCTTATTGTCCAGAAGGTAAGTGGAAGAGGAACATGGGAATATGGAAATTATAATTTTCTGGTTCAGATTGATGGCGAACAAAGTCGAATTGTGAGGTTCACACCGAAACAAAAGATTCTAATCGAGAAGTTGAAGTTCACATCTGATAGGTAAGTTTGAAAATCATATGGTTCCGAAATTCCTGAATGTTATTTGTCGTTCTCCTAGAACTAATCTATCGAGAGAATTGGTTTCCTCTTCTATGAACTTTCTCTCTTCGCCAATCACTTGGTCATAGTTGAGTGATACAAAATGATCATTGATGGTGACGTCAAATTTCTATCCAAACATGCGACGCTCTTTAAAAATCACATATTTTCGATCGGCAATCATTCCTCGCTCCCGGGTGTGATAAATAAAAGGTTAAACAAATAGTGCAATCAATGGTCGTATCATGGGGGAAATTTTCCAGCAAATTTTAACATTAAAGGGGGACTCCGACCAAAAAATTATATTTGATTTTTTTGTTTCAAAATGTTCTCGAAGTAAGGTATTTTTATAATACTAATACGAAAAAATTCAGAAAAAAGTCGAAGTCCCTGAAAAACGCCGACAAAATTGAAGCGCCGCTCAGTTCTCGTCAACGAGGGACTAGAAAAATCTTGAGTTCGGCCACGCGGCCACACATTTTTCAATCCAATTTTCGCCGTTTTCAGCCGTTTTTTTCTGTAATTTCCGTAAGAATGAAACTGTTTCATTAACTATTATATAAAGACGGCAAAAAAGTGTGTTCAAGTCAACATTGATTACACGAGCGATGGAGAAGCGACGCTGTCAGTATTGATGTGACCAAAAGCCTGTTCGAAAGCTCATCATTGTTACTTCTAATGAAACTGAAAGAGTGAAATGGATTGAGATTATGGGCGACAATTTTGGCAGTAAAATTGCAGGAAACGAAATGTTTACTTCTTCTGACGGACAGCGTCGCTTCTCCATCGCTCGTGTAATCAATGTTGACTTGAACACACTTTTTTTGCCGTCTTTATATAATAGTTGATGAAACAGTTTCATTCTTACGGAAATTACAGAAAAAAACGGCTGAAAACAGCGAAATTTGGATTGAAAAATGTGTGGCCGCGTGGCCGAACTCAAGATTTTTCTAGTCCCTCGTTGACGAGAACTGAGCGGCGCTTCAATTTTGTCGGCGTTTTTCAGGGACTTCGACTTTTTTCTGAATTTTTTCGTATTAGTATTATAGAAATACCTTACTTCGAGAACATTTTGAAACAAAAAAATCAAATATAATTTTTTTGGTCGGAGTCCCCCATTTAAAATTGTTCCTGGCAAACAAAAACATGGTCTTTTTTTTTCAGTGCCTTCGGGAAACCACATGGATTGTTCGAAGTATCCAACAATCAGTGCTTTCCAATGTCAGTTGACAGGCTTATCGAAGAACTTCAACTCCAGGAAGCTCCTGTGGCAACAACTCTTGCCGATTCTGAGGTAGTGCTCTCTGAGATTGTAGAATCATCGGATCTGAGAGTCGTCATCGCTCCATCAGCCCTAAAACTTGAACCAGAACAGAAGCGACAAAAATTGGAAATGGACGCTGTTTTGGAAATGAAGAAACAAGGAGTAAGCGGACAAGAAGTGGTTGCAAAGCTTGTCGAGGGATCCGCATCCTTTCAAACAAGGACCGTGTTTTCGCAGAGCAAATACATCAAAAGAAAGGCAAAGAAGCATAGTGATAGGTATATCTTTTTACTCAACTTGGCAACCCAAATATCTTACAGAGTTCTTATTCTGCGCCCAACGATCCGCCTACTCGCCAAGGCGTATTACTTGAAAGATCCAGATCGTCTTGCTATGCTTCGTGCTGATCAACTGGCTTTGATTCTGCAAATGGCAGGTGTTCACCATGGCAAAAATGTCCTAGTTTTCGAGCAAACACTTGGTCTCATTACATCTGCGGTAATGGAGAGGCTTGGGGGCAAAGGAGCATGTGTTCATTTTCATCGTGTGAGGAGTTCAGGAAGAAAATAGTAATTTAAGTTTTGCGTTCAGGGTGCCGTTGCACAGTCAATTCCATGCGTACATTCTATGAACTACAACGAATCTACACTTTCTACCTTCCTCCCTGTTCGGATAAAGTGCCTTCTGACCGGAAAGCAGCTACCATATGAAAATAATAGGAAGGCTTGCAATGAAGAAGAAGAGAATGACGATAAAACCAAGGAAGGGAAATGTGAAGAAAATGTAGAAGTTCGTTTATTGCTGAGTCTTTTCAAAGAATAACTGATTTTAGGATCAGGATCTAGAAGCCCTTGCCCGACGCAACGATAGATTGGATAGGGAAAGGCGAGGTCTGGAAATGACATTCGAAGGAAACGCCCATGCGCTCATCATTGGAAGCCGTACCGTTGATCCAATAAATGTTCTAGAATTGGTTTACCCTACTCTCGCCCCATCGGCCTCAATTGTGATCTATTCCCCTCATCAAAATGTTAGTTTTGGATTGAAATATTCGGTTGAAGTTTTAATCGTAACTTTTTTCAGACACTTATTTCTTGCTACGACTGGCTTTCGAAACGTCAAGCGATAAATCTTGTACTCACAGATCAGATGTGTCGAGTAATGCAAGTGCTGCCAGATCGAACGCATCCTCTGATGGCTCAACATGTTGCTGGTGGACATGTTCTGAGTGGAATCAAAGTTGTTGATCAGTGATTTATATGTTTTTTTGTTAATTTTTGTATTGTTATTTTTCTCATTTTTCAAACTTTGAGCCGTTCATTTTTTCTTGTTTTCTGTTATTTAAATTTTGAAGATTCAGACAGAAATATTCAATTTTTTCTTCCTTCTTCGAAAAATACTGTTCACATCATCCAATGTTTTTCCACTGAAGTTCTTTTTCTTTAACGGAGAAGACAACTTCCTTAGAATCGGAGCTGTGTCAATGTTTCAACTAGTTTAAACTAGGATCTAGAATTCTGAAAAATTGAACAGTTTCGAGTATGACCAAATACAGATTCTTTTTAAGGTTTTTCGAGCACATTGCGGCAGCTCCATTTTGCCTCCTAAAAATAATGAGAAAAGTGTGCGGTGCGCTTGCAACCAACCAATCCACGCTATGTTGCCCCGCCCACAACACTGCCGCAGCCATGCCAGCGAGATTCTCGAGCCGATAAGCTTCATCGCTGATCCACGTTTCATGTGGTATTAGACACTCTTCTAGCTTTGGAGTCACTATCGGTGCATCGAAAATGTTTTCTCGGTTTCCCAGATTTTTTGCTTTTGCTCTTGTTACTGTATTTAACAACCTTAATTTCATAAATAACCCAATTCAGAACAAACTCATACAGTTGGTCACTAACTATATTTATTAATTTGGTTTTGATATGTTTATTTCACTCGTTGTCGTTATGAATGCTTTTTTTCTTTCGTTAGCTGTCTTTTTTAACCTTTCTTAAGAAGAATTCTTAACTTAATTTTTTTTCCAGGTAATGACTCTCCTTCGAGTTGGCACCATTTTGGTGCTCGCGGCCGTATTACCACTCGAAGAAGGCTTTTATGTGCCCGGAGTTGCCCCATTCGATTTTAGAGCTGGTGATTTTATTGATGTGAAGGTATGTTTCCCTATTTACTACGAAGATGCATCATCTTAATATTTCTAGGCCATCAAGTTAACGAGCTCGAGCAACATTATGCCTTTCGAATATTACTCGGTACCCTTTTGCAAACCAAAGGATGGAGATATTCGATATAAATCGGAGAACCTCGGAGAAGTTATGCGGGGTGATCGTATTGTCAACACTCCATATAAGTTCAGTATGAAGAAAAACGAACAATGCGCGTCTTTGTGCTCCAATAAATTATCAAAGGAAGATGTTGAGTTGTTCAGAGAACGAATTCGTCAAGAATACTCGGCGCATATGTAATTTTAAAAGTATTGAAACCACCAAATTCCGTCTGAAAATTTCAGGATTGTTGATAACCTTCCAGTGGCTACTGTGATTAGTTCTGGAAAATCAGGAGATGTATACTACGATCTTGGCTATCGTCTTGGATGGATTGATGAAAATTCCAAAGTTTATCTGAACAATCATCTTCAATTCGTTGTTAAATATCATCAGCATACTCCCGGGCTTTATAGGTTTTCATAAGACATTTAATATAAAAATTAAATGAGCATTTTCAGAGTAGTCGGATTTGAGGTTCGACCGAAATCCATCGCCGTCACAAAAAATAGTGACTCGACCTGTTCTCTTCCAGAAGATGGAGGGAAACACGCTGAACTCGGAAATTCGGAACAGACTGTTGATTTCTCCTACTCTGTAACATTCGAGGAGAGTGATATCCCATGGGCATCTCGATGGGACGTTTACTTGACGACGAAAGCCGTCGATATTCATTGGTTCAGCATCTTGAACTCGATCGTTGTTGTGCTTTCTCTTTCCGGTGAGATTTTTCCGTCATTCTCAACACTCTTGATGATTCAATTTCAGGTTTTTTGAGTGTAACTATCGTGCGAACTGTACGTCGGGACATCGCTCAGTATAATCGGGATGACGAAGAAGACGAAACCTTGGAAGAAACTGGGTGGAAGCTGGTGCACGGAGATGTTTTCCGTCCTCCACCCCACCAGATGATTCTCGTCAATATGGTTGGAACTGGAATCCAGCTTCTCGGAATGTCGGCTATTGTTGTCGGTGAGTTTCTTTATTCCAGAAACAAATCAATTAATTTTTTGCAGTTTGTGCAATGCTTGGAATGCTATCTCCAGCATCTCGTGGATCACTCATGTCTGCAGCTGTCTTCCTTTTCTGTTTCATGGGTCTGATTTCCGGATACCATGCCGGTCGCCTCTACAAAACGATGAAAGGACGTAACCCAATTCGGTGCGCTGTCCAAACTGCCACCCTTTTCCCATCGCTGATTCTCGGAGCTGGTTTCTTGTTGAACTTCTTTTTGATCGGAAAACATTCATCTGGAGCAGTTCCATTCGGTACAATGATCGCTCTTCTGATTATGTGGTTCTGTATCGACATGCCACTTATATTCCTTGGTTTCTATTTTGGCTATCGCAAACAACCGTACACCCACCCAGTTCGCACCAACCAAATTCCTCGTCAAGTTCCTGAACAACCATGGTATCTCCGCCTTATTCCGAGTTCCCTGATTGCCGGTGTTCTACCGTTTGGAGCTATGTTCATTGAATTGTTCTTCATTTTCAATGTGAGTTTCGAGAAAAAAAGTAATCTCTGGCAAAGTGTTTTTCAGGCTATCTGGGAGAATCAGTTTTATTACCTGTTTGGTTTCCTTTTCATTGTTTCAATCATCTTGGCCATATCGACTGCTCAGATCTCTGTTGTAGCTACTTATTTCTCTCTTTGCGCCGAAAATTATCGTTGGTGGTGGAGATCTTTTGTCATCTCTGGAGGATCTTCATTTTATGGTACCTTTAATTTCGATACAGCGCAAAGATTAATTTTAATATTTCAGTCATGGCGTACGCAGTGTTCTATTACAACACTAAATTGACGATTGAAGGATTCGTGCCAACTGTTCTCTACTTTGGATATTCGTAAGCGTCAACGAATTCTTATCATTTCCACTATGACATTTTCAGGTCTTTAATTGCGCTTACGTTCTTCTTCATGACAGGAACGATTGGATTCTACGCTTCACATTTCTTCCTCACCAAGATTTATGCTGCTGTGAAAATCGATTAATTACGCTCCCTTCTACGAAGATCTGCTCATGTCTGTCCTTGAACGCTTCTGTCTGCGATCGCCTGTCAATGCATCCGCAGTAAAAAACCATTGCATTTTCCTGTGTATTTCTAACATTTCCACCCACAATTCACCCCCATCACATTCCCCTGTGCTTCACTGTTCTTTTTTTGTATAAAATCTCAGTCTCCCGGACGACATATTAATGGTTGTGTTAAAATATGAATATTTATATAAATAATATGAATATATTTTCCACCGGCATTTTTCTCATTTGACATAATCCTTCATTTATTCTCCGGTAGCTTCAAGTCTATTGTGGTTTTTGGTATTCATCACAACAATTCATTCCAAATGTATATGTTTGATAAAATGTTATTTTTTCTAGAAACAGTCCAGAAATGTTTGAAATAAGTTGACTATCTTTTTTCACCGATACTTTTAGCATGAATCACACAAATTAAACATTTTATTTAAGGGACATGACCAACGAGAAAGATGTAAAACCGTTGGTTGTTAGAATAATACTGATAGTTGGTGGAATTCTGGGAGCACATCGATTATATTTGAAGCAAGTTCCAGAAGCATTCGTATTCTTCTCTACTTTTGGAGTGTTTCTTATCGGTTAGAGTTGATTTTTAATTTTGAGAAAACACCTTTTTCGAAATTTCAGGATGGCTTTATGATAGTTTTATGTTCAAGTACGAAGTTGAGGCTTATAATCAGTTGATAAATCTGAACAAAGAAAACAAGGACAAAGAAAAGTGGAAGTTGGTTTTTTTTTTTGCTTTTCTATCTTATTATTTATGTAACTTTTAGGAATGGTAGGCTGCAAACAGCGCAATCCAAATTTGTTGAGTTTTCTCTGACCCGTTTTCTGTATTCTGTACTTTATGGGTTATATATTGGTATTGGCACTTGGCTTGCTTGTACTCTAACTTTCGGATGGACAGACATCAATTCCATACCATTTGTTTCAGTGGTTGCCCTGGGAATTACAGCAGGTTCGGATTTTTCGCCAGAATCTTTCCAAATTGATTTTCTGTTCAGGGGTCTACATAATCGGACATTGTGGTGGCCAAAGTCGCGAACTCAGCTTCATCTGGATTTCTAGTTTTTCATCAATGTTCCTTATGGTAAATCGTTATCTAATTTGTTTTAATAGACTACAATTCTACAGGTCCGCGTTTTCCAAAGTGCAGTATTCCGTTCTATCTTCATTGCTTCAATCGTCTCCACGCTAGTTGGAAATCGAACGGCTAAAAACAAAAGAAGTCGACACACATGGAGACACTTTTTGGTCCTAACCAAAAATTTTGAATTTCAAATAATTCCTTTCGCTTTTTTCAGTTCTGGTCATCTCTGTTTATGATGCTTGTCTGTGTGATTCTGCTAGGATGTTCAAGAAAAATCGGGGAGAAACAGGTAATTTCACTATCTAGAAATCCATAATTTATTTTTTGTTCAGATAACAGCGACTCGTCCTGGATCGTTTCGAGAAACCACTTCTGTTGGAAGTCTGATGAGAGACCGAATCTTTGATTCTAAAAAGGTTTACAGGTAAAATTTCAAATTTGTTTCAAGGCCCAATTCATTAAATGAATAATTTCCAGTTTCTTCGAAGGAAATCCAATAATCGAATATTCCATATCAGACTCCTCACAAACTGAAAGATCAACAGCGTCTAAAAAAAGTAATTCTTTCTGGCAACACGTTTGGAGTGGAGAGTTGTTTGATGAGCTCACCGGTGCTGCTCATCTCACAAAAATCGATTGGGTGAGAAAATATGAGTATTCGAAGCCTTCATGTCTCTTTTTCAGGTTGAGTTAACGATGACGTTTATTGTAGACGTCCTTCGTGCAGAAGCACGTGTTATTAATAAATCATCGACGGTTGAACCGTTCAAATGGGCTCTCTGGAGGAATTATCTGATCCATGTGAATATTTACAAAATGTCTTTTCGAATACGAAAACTATGTTTTTCAGCGCTTTTCACTGGACCCGTTGGTTTCCGATGATCACATCAGATCAGAATGCAAAAAATGGCAACAAGAGCAAAATCAGAAACGGGAGAGCTCTGAAAAAGACTTCAGCATGATTGCCGCTAAACGAGGATGTGCTACATTCCAATCGTGATTCATCTCCGCATCCGGTGGTACGACGGATTGGAGATTTCCTAAAATGAAACTGTAGCAAAATGAACATTTCCTAAATCAAAATGGTTCCAAATTGAAAACTGTGCGAAACCAGAACTGTCCGGAAGTATAAATTGGACGGAACAGAAATGTCTAAAGTGAAATTGTCCCGTTTTG